CTTAGTGCTATGAACTTCCCCCCGTAGCACTGCTTTCAAAGTGTCCCATAGGTTTAGGTATGTTGTGTCTTCATTATCATTGAATTCGAGGAAGAGTTTAATTTCTTTTTTTATTTCTTCTTTGACCTAGGAATGGTGCAGTTGAGCATTATTCAATTTCCATGAGTTTGTAGGTTTTCTGCTATTTGTGTTGTTGTTGAATTCTAATTTTAAAGCATGGTGGTCTGATAAGATGCATGGAGTTATTCCAATTTTTTTTTGTAGCTGCTGAGGTTTGATATGTTGCCAAGTGTGTGGTCTATTTTTGAGAAGGTTCCATGTGGTGGTTTGAAGAAGGTATATTCTTTTTTATGTGGATGAAATGTTCTATAGTTGTCTGTTAATCCCAGTTGGGTCATTACTTCTATTAGACTCTTTGCTTCTTTGTTGAGTTTCTGTCTGGTATTCCTGTCTAGTGTTGAGAGTGGTGTGTTGAAATCTCCCACTATAACTGTGTGGGGCTTTAGATGTGATTTAAGTTCTAATAAGGTTTCTTTTACAAATGTGGATGCCTCTGTATTTGGGGCATAGATGTTCAGAATAGACACTTCATCTTGGTGGGTTTCACCTGTGATGAGTATGTAATGACCTCCTTCATCTCTTTTGATTGATTTTATTTTAAAGTCTAGTTTGTTAGATATTAGGATTGCTACCCCTGCTTGTTTCTTGGGTCCATTTGATTGAAAAAATTTTCCCAACCTTTAACTTCAGGCAATGTCTGTCTTTGAGGGTCAGGTGTGTTTCTTGTATGCAGCAGAAGGAAGGGTTCTGTCTTCGAATCCATTCTGCTAGCCCGTGTCTTTTTATGGGTGAGTTAAGGCCATTAATGTTGAGGGATATTAATGACCATTGATTTCTCATCCTTCTTCGATTTGCAATGGTTGTTGTTGGTGGAATTATGTGTGGAATTTCACCCCTTTGTTCTTTTGGCTGTTGGTAGAGAGTGATTCTCTAATGCCTATGTTTTTCTGGTTGTAGTTAGCTTCCTTGGGTTGGAGTTTTCCTTCCAAAATTTTCTGTAGGGCTGGGTTAGTGGATACGTATTGCTTGAATCTAGTTTTGTCATGGAATATCTTGTTTTCTCCGTCTATAGTGATTGAGAGCTTTGCCAGGTATAGTAGTCTGGGCTGGCATCTATGGTCTCTTAGTGTTGGTAGAATATCTATCCAGGACCTTCTGGCTTTCAGAGTTTCCATGGAGAAGTCAGGTTCAATTCTGATAGGTCTGCCTTTATATGTTACTTGAACTTTTTCCTTAGCTGCTCTTACTATTCTTTCTTTATTCTGTATATTTGGGGTCTTGATTATTATGTGGCAAGGGGATTTTTTTTTGTGGTCCACTCTATTTAATGTTCTGTAAGCTTCTTGTACCTTCATTGGCATATCTTTCTTAAGGTTGGGAAAGTTTTCTTCTATGATTTTGTTGAATATGTCTTCTGTCCCTTTGAGGTGGTTTTCTTCTCTTCTTCTATACCTATTATTCTTAGGTTTGGTTTTTTCATGGTGTCCCATATTTCCCGGATGTTTTGTGTTAAGGATTTGTTGGACTTAAGATTTTCTTTGGTTGATGAATCCATTTCTCTAGTGTATCTTCAATACTTGAGATTCTCTTCCATCTCTTCTATTCTGTTGGTAATGCTTGTATCGGTAGTACCTGACTGTTTGCCCAGCTTTTCTATTTTCTGCCTTTCGTCAGATTGTGTTTTTTATTGTCTCTATTTCAGTTTTCAACCCTTGCAGAGTTTGCATTGCTTCTTGCAATTTTCGGTTTATCTTTTCGTCCATTTGTTGCCTTTTATGAATTTTTTGGTTTGTTCTTTCTTCCATTTCTTGCATTTTTTCGTTTGCTTTTTGTTCCATTTCTTGCATTTTTTTGCTTTGTTTCTTCTTCCATTTCCTACCTTTTTTGGTTTGTTTCTTCATCCATTTCTTTCATTTTTTGCTTTGTTTTTTCTACCATTTCTTGCATTTTTTGCTTTGTTTCTTCTTCCATTTCCTGCCTTTTTTGGTATGTTTCTTCTTCCAATTCCTGCATTTTTTGCTTCATTTCTTCTTCCATTTTCTGCCTTTTTTGGTTTGTTTTTTTCTTCCAATTCTTGCATTTTTTGGTTTGTTTTTTCTTTCCTATATCCTCTTTTAGGGCCTCTATCATTTTCATGAAAGTGGTTTTAAGGTCGTTCTCTTCTGCTTCGTTCGCATTGGAATGTTGGGGTCTTGCTGGTGTGGAGTCTCTAGAATCTGGTGGTGTCATATTTGTTTTTCTGTTGCTGACTGTGTTTTTGTATTGTCTCTTTCCCATCTCTTCGTCTAGTGGGTGCAGAAAGAGCCCCTTACTGGTCTGGGGACCAGAGTTCCCTTTTGGTGGGTGCTAGCAAGCCCAATAATCTGGTGGTTCTTCTATTCCTTGTCCTCGTTCTGGTCCCTTGGGTGGAGAAGAAGAACAGGAATCTGGGGCACTTAGCTTCCCACCTGGTCCCCTGGACCCTTTGCTGGATCCTGTTGTACCTGATCCTGGGGCCAGAACAGCTGCTCCCTTGGTCTCCCTGGCTCCTCTGGTTTCCTGGTCTCGTTGGTGGGAGAGAAGACCTGGAGTCTAGGGTTCTTGGCTCCCGCCGGGATTGGAAGCTCTGTGCAGTTCCCAGGCGATCAGCAGGCTCTGGAATACAGGCCCAGAAGATGGCCTGTTTACCTGATGCTGCCACAAGAACAGCTGCTTACCTGGACTCCCTGGCTCCTCTTAGCTTAATATTTTTATGGGATTCCTGACTGGGGATGAGTGAGTATCTGACTCTTATGCCTGCTCTTGGGACTCTTTTCTGTGTCCAACTTCAATATGAAAGTTTTTGCTTCATATTATTACGCATTATTTGGTCATGTTTGGCTATTTCTTAGAAAATATTTTTCTCTTCTAATGAGAGACAGAAAGAAAGTCGACCTGGAGGGGAGGGGAGGTAGGAAGAAATTGGGAAGAGGAGAAGGAGGGGGAAACTATAATCAAGATACAGTGTGTGAGAAAAGAGTCTATTTTCATTTCTCAGTTCTACCAGCCCAACAGCATGGACAGGTGGATCTAATTGTCCTATAAGACGGGGAGATTTCCTATGCTTCTTTGATGGGAAAACTGCCACAGATCCTAGAACCATTCCTTGTACCGCCGGACTTTTGTGAATTCTCTGTTAGTTCTTGTTGCACCCCCCTGTTTGTCCCAGTGTGTGGACATAGCCATCCTAAAATGGGATGCCCTGGCCAACCGAGTTGTCAGTGGTGAGGCAGATAATACCCCTTTTCCTGCAGGCTGCTGTCTCCCTGCAGTGTCACTGGAGTAGGAACTCCTGACTACACTGCATTTGTTTAGAGTCATAGTGATTTGACATGTAACACGGCTGTACTTAGGCACTTGGAAAGGAAAAAGCGAGATTTTGTAAGTCAAGTCACATTTGATGTGTAAGATTTAGAAATTGGACATGGCTTTCAGACGGTATAATTTTGGTGTATGCTCCTTTCCTTTGTAGAGAAGAAACAGGGCACGTTCAGTGTGTCACATACACCTTTTAGGAACCTATGGAATACATATGAAGATGCTAATTATAATTTTTAGTGGACAGGCCTTGTCTTTTGTTTGTTTATATCCTCATATTGCTGTGAGTTCAAAGAAGACAGCAGAAAATCCAATCTTGTTTGGAAATGTAAGCACATTTACAGGATATAGCTTTTAAAAAACCAAAGTGTATTGTAAGTCTACAAATAGAAAGGTAACAGCTCTTATATGTGCTGCACAGTATTTGAAGTTCCACAAATCACAAATGGCTTCACAGCACACTCACACATAAACACCAACACCTTTGTCTGAAAGACAGCCACAGCTTAAGTTAACTTGATAGTATGATCCAAAAAATACCCAGATGAAATTAAATATATTTAGTCAAAATAATTTCATTTACTTAAGCTTTATTTTTAAACTAAAACTTTTATCTACCCCTCAACTCCCCTTTGTCTTTCTCGCAGCTCCTATCCTGGATGTTCAAAACATATCATGATGCTGTAGATATAGCTGTATGACCATGTGGTGGTAGCAGTTTATTGCTGTTGAGAGTGAGTCACCAAATGTATGCACAGGCTTCCAGACAACTTCAACTTCATCAAACTTTAGGAAACCAAAGACTCTCTAAAAGCAATTTAGTAGAGAGAGCACCTTTTTTTTGGGGGGGGGACTTGGTCTACTTCTATGTCTCTCTGTCTCTCTCTCTGTCTCTCTGTCTCTCTCTCTCTCTCTTTCTCTCTCTCTCTGTGTGTGTGTGTGTGTGTGTATGTGTGTGTGTGTGTGTGTGTGTTGCATGTATAAGACCCAAGGCTGATGTTAGGGAACCATCCTCTACTGATCTTCCACATTATTCTTTAAGTCAGGCTCTCTCAATCAAATCCAGACACATAGCTACTCTAGACACCCAGCCTGCTTGGGGGATTCCCAGGCTCCACCTTCTGTGTCTGGAATACAGATAGGCCTCACTCCCACCAGAATTTACTTGGATTTTGGACATCTGAACTCTTGTCGTCTCCTTGCATAAGCCAAAATGAGCCAACATTTTAATCCCTGAAACTTCCACCCAGTCCCCAAAACTGCTTTTCTTAAAAAAGAAACGACACAATTTTTGCTTTCAAAGCATCAGCTTTGACCTTAGTGTTTTGACGTTAATATAATTAATAACATAGCATGTACTCAGAATTCAGCTGCCACACAACATCAAGCATCATGTTAAATTGTAACGAGAGTGACTTTACTGAGAGAGACAGGTTGAGGACCAAATGGATGTTCAGATGGTAATAAACCACACACATTTTGAACACAGGACACTATTAAGTTTTGTTGCAAAGGAAGAACTCTTCTCTTAAAAGTGTTTTTGAGGTGACAGACATTCTAAAGGGCTGTAAGAGACTTGCTGTTTTGTAAAAACATGTACTTACAGCATAAAGGGCTCCGGTATACAAAGGTTCATTTATGAGGACAGTGTCTCCAGGATTGATGAGCATTTCAAACACCTGACAAAAGAAGCATAGGTTAGCTTGGATAGAATAGCTCCTATACCCAGAACATCTTTTCTCTTGTGCTCCCAGAATCTAAAGGGAGAGTGGGAAGCTTTTTTAAGGGCTAGGTAATAACCATTGTGTGAACCATAGTGTTTCTGTTGCAGCTGCTCATCTCTGCCTCCATAGCAAGAGAGCAGCCCATGTGTAAGTAAACGAGAGTATCTGGTGGCAATTAAACTTTATTTACCAACTTCCCTGATGGTCTGGATTCTGCTGTCCAGCAGTTTGTTGACCTCTATTGTAGGGTAAAATGAAGAAGAACATAACTGGTCTGGCTCCTAAAATTCATCTGTTCCTTTTATTGCTTTTTGGAAAATGTTGACTATGTTAGATATTGACTATGAATCAGGTCAGGGAAGAGCACTAGAGACAAAATCCTTGCAAAATGACCAGGTTCCTATTGTCATGAGGTAGCTGATCCTCTGGGAGAGCTAGACACTAATCAGATAATTATCTCAATCGAGAGGCCAAATCCATGGTCAGTACTGTTAGGGTCAGGTGCCCTACATCCTGGACATGCCATTGCAGGACTTAATTACTCAGAGAACGTAGGTAAGACTTCATCAAGGAAGTGATGTCCTGGTGTATGTAGGGGTAAATGACAGCTGGTACCTTTTGGTAAACTGGGAGACTTCTGGGACTCGAGGTGGAATGTGAAGAGGCAGGAGAGAGAGAGAGAGAGAGAGAGAGAGAGAGAGAGAGAGAGAGAGAGAGAGAGAGAGAGAGAGAGAGAGAGAGAGAGAGAGAGAGAGAGAGAGAATAGGCAGGTGTGGTCAAAAGAGACTATACTACGAGATCATTCAGGCCACAGAGTTGATTAAGGACTTTGGAAGGGACAGAGAAAATATTAGGAGCCACATTATCAGACAGGCAGTTAGGAAGATAACTTCTAACAAAAGTATAAAATAGTAAGAGAAGAGGGAGACCTTTGGAGGACTGTTTGGGAATCACTGATGTGGCCCTAGGGATAAACACAGGTAGTCTGAGCTAAAGAGGGTGCACTGTAGGAAGGCTTGAGAAGTATTTAGGAAATGAAAACCAATGGGTCATGTTTATGGTCTATAAGGGGCTGAGGGAGAAGAGCTGAAGATTTTTAGTATCAATCACTTGAACACAGGACCCAAAAGTAGCCTGTATGTAATCGACATGAGTTGTTTAGTTTAGCTTTTTTTTCCTGCCTTAAACATCCTGCTATAGTGTGAGGTAGACCAACGGACAAATGCATTTGGGAAGAGCTCGGAAGTTTTGGGCATGTGCTTTGTCACATGGGTGTGCCCAAACTCACATGCAGCATGCAGATACACTCAAGGACTGAGGTGTGATGCCAGGAAATCAGAGCTAAGCCCAGGAGGATGAGGTAAGGGAGGACTCACAAATCCGACAGACGAGACCACAAGCTGAGGGAGTTGGAGTGTTGAAAAAGGAGGAGTGGTCAGTACTGCTAAACAGTATTTAGCAGTTAAGGGTGACAAGGTTTGGTGGTGTGGACTGTGTGAAGACTCCAGATGTCATTCGTCGGAGACAAAAGTTTTTCTGGTACATATGTGTGGGTCTATCATGACTCAATTGTACACAAGCCATAGAACAATTCCTCCCTACCTTATGTGATATCACAGTCCCTGTCTCAAGTCTTTCTCCCTGTCAGTTTAACAGCTTATATATCACAATAAGAATAGAGCTATTTTCAACTGAGCCAGACGACTTAACCTTTTTTCTCCAATTTGGCCTGGTGCTCAATTTTTCGTTCTGAACTTTTGACATCTTATAGAAAACACACTCCTCCCAAAAGTTCCTAATGGACTCAGAGGCCTTCACAAGATATCCTATCACCAAGCGAAACAGCGGAGTGACTGCTGTGTGTCTCAACAATAAATGCAAATTTTCCACAAGTAGGGGGACTTCAGACGCCAAATGTCCCACCTGAAAGGGGAGTTTTTCCTCATCTTTGAGGATGGAGATGAGAAGGGGCAGGAACTCTCAAGGGCTCACCTAGCTAACTGAGGAGCTAGGGGTAGTTGAGATATGCTGGGGAGAGAGGACCATTCTTCTGGTGGATTTTGTCACTGGTGGTTGCCCATGCTCCAATACATGGATACACAGCCATGCATGTACAGAAAGCATTAACTGGAGTTAGCAAGTTACTATAAAAAGAAGAGAATGTGAACTTGGGAGGAAGATGTGTTTGTGGGTTCAAGAGAATTGGAGGGAGGAAATATGGGGTGGGAATGACCACATATCATTGCATTCATTTATAAAATTCTCAAAGAATAAATTAGAAAAGAAAATAGCTTTAGGAGAAATATAAAAGAAATCTATTCTTAACCTAGCCTGGCACACATGAAGTTCATTTGCTTTTTAAAAAAGAAGGATTCGTCTTGAGTGAGGTAACCCAGTCACAAAAAGACAAACATGGTATGTACTCACTCATATATGGATTTTAGACATGGATCAGGGGAGTGCCAGCCTACAATCCCTCTGCCAGAGAGTCTGGGAAACAGGAAAGAACCTAAGAGAAATAAGCATGGTACCCTAGAGAAGGGGAATGAGGCAAGATGTTCTGAACAGATTGGGAGCATAGGGATAGGGAAGGCAGGGGCAGGGAGAGAGGGGGAGAAGAGGAGGGGAGGACGTGGAAGGTTGAGTCGGGGGAAGAATAGAGGAGACCAGGATGAGAGATACCATAATAGAGGGAATCATTATAGGTTTGAGAAGAGATCTGGCACTAGCGAGATTTCCAGAGATCTACAAGGATGACACCAACTGGCAAACTAAGCAATAGTGGAGAGGCTACTTTAAATGCCCCTCCCTTATAATGAGTTTGACGACTTGACTTCCTTATATGCCATCCTAGAACCTTCATCCAGTGACTGGTGGAAACAGAGGCAGACACCCACAGCTAAACACCCAGTGACAGAGAGGGAGGACTGATGAGCAAAGGGGCCAAGACTGGGCTGGTTTAACCCACAGAAACAGCTGACCTGAACAAGTGGGTGCTCTCAGACCCCCTGAATGTATGTGTCAGTGAGGAGGCCTAGGCAATCTATAGGGCCTTGGGTATTAGATCAGTATTTATCCTTGGCATACAAATGGACTTTGGGTGCCCATCCTACAGTGAGGGATGTTCTTTCAGCCTGGACTCTTGGGGGAGGGCCTAGGCCCTGCCCAGAAGGAAATGACAGACTCTGGAGATCCCCCATGGGGGGGGCCTCACCCTCTCTGGGGAACGGAGTGGGGATTGGGTGGGGAGAGTTGAAGGGGCCAGTGGAGGGGCAGAGGAGGAGGGGAGGGAGAAGGAGGTAGGATTGACATGTGAAGCAAGCTTGTTTCTAATTTAAATACAAAAAAAAATCTTTAAAAAAAGGGTTCAAGTCCAAGCACAAACTAGCTACCATGGAACACATGTAAGAAATATTAAGCCAAATTATCGTCATGCTGTCTTTAATAAAGCCCCTATACTAACTTCCTTTTTTGATATGACTGGAATTGTAACAGACAATGAAGAAACAATCTCCTGTCCCTTTCCACAAGGAAAGGTCACAGCCTGCTTTCCAATGAAAATCACTTATTTGAGAGAATTCCTAAGTCTCAGTCCGTAGACTCACAAAGATACCTCTGCTAGCGGAAATCTACACTGTAGCTAATTCTTTTACTAAACACAAAAATAACAGGTTCTTTTGACTTCTGATATCAATTGATTAACCCAAAGCTTTTGTACCTGGCCTTTGTCTATCATTAATGTTCCCCCTTGTCCCACCCCTTCCATCCGCTTGCTATTTTTGACTTTGAATTTCCCACTTATTATCCTAGGTGAAGAGAAAAATGCCTACTAGTAGCCCACAAAGCATGATCCCCTTATAGTTAGTATGTGGGAGATGATCACATTTAGGAGTGTGCTTGATTCTACACAAAACCTTCTTTCTCCCTCCTTTCTTACCTTACAGAGACCATCCTGGCAGCCGGATGTGATGCAGATATCCATCTGTCCTTGAGTGGGTGGGTAGTGGACAGTGGGGGGATTGTGCAATTTTATTTGCAACTGTTTTAGCCACGACAGAAGTTCTGGAATTCTAAGGCATACAATGCATTTCACAATTTATGGTCATAATAATCATAGAAATAGTAGACAGAGAAGAAATAGTGACTTAATATCAAACTCATTATACATTCAATTTAACAATCCCTCAAATGCCTTTCAGCAGTTTCAGTACTCTCACTTAAAAAATGAGGCAATAGAGTGAGACATTAAGAGATTCTCGTAAATTCAATCAGCCAGAAATTCACATAAAGCTGGACACTTAATCCATGTGCCGAGCTTGAATCTACTTACGTGGAAGCCTGAAGGCTTGTTTCCCCCAGGACTTTCATTACATAGTAGAGTCTTTGTTAGAGTAGGAAGATTACTATAAACTATCTATATGTTTCCACAGTTCATGTGCACATTAATAGCATGATTTCAACAAACTCTTTAAACACAGAGGATTTTTGTTTGTTTGTATGACTGTGTGCTCAGGCTGGCTTTGAGGTGATGGATAGTCTGCTATAACTGACCACAAATACATTTAATAAACAATTACATAAAGAATTAATAAATTAAACTTCATCAGTGGGAGAAGCCCAGCTAAAAGAAGTCTTAAGATATATGGTTCAGTTTGTCTGCCAGCAGTTAGACATTTGAACCTATGGAAGCAATGCATTTGTGCGTGCCTAACAGGAAACACCACGGTGCCTGCCAGAAAACCAGGTAAGCTGCCTGCAGACCTCCTCTGTTCTCTCAGTTACCCCGGACTCAGTCCTTCAGTTTCTTCCCTAGTCCTGAGACAGATCACCAGCTGCAGCCTTCCTTCCCCTCTGCCCACATATTGTAGACCCTACAGACCAGCCCTTCCCGACTACCCTTCCTCCACTCATCACTGCATCCCAGCCTCCAACACCAGCAGCCATTCCCTGTGAACACACCAGATGAGCAGGCCAGCAAAACAGGCAATACACAGCCATCACACTCTCTGAAAATCCAGAAAGGAAACAGAAACCAAGGAACAAAAAACCCACCCAACAAAGACAAACCCAGAAGTCAGCGCCTAGACCTATATGCATCTCAAACCCAGACGCCCATACACCAGCATAAAAATACAATCAATAACAGCCAGGACAGTATATCTCCACTAGAGCCCAGCTATCCTATCACAACAGTCCCTGAATATCCCATCATAGCTGAAGCACGAGAAAAAGACCTTAAAACCAACTATATGAAGATGATAAAGTTACTGAAGGAGGAAATGAATATATCCTTTACAGGTGTCCTGGAAACCACAAACAAATGAGTGGCTGCCTAAAGAATGGAAAAAGATTTTACCAATTCCACACATCCAATAGAGAACTGATGTCCAAAATATATAAATAAGAAACTAGATATCAAAAAACTAAATAATCCAATTAAAAATGAGGCACAGATCTAAGTAGAGAATTCTCAGTAGAGGAATCTAAAATAGATTAGAAACATTTAAAGAAATGCTCAATATCTTCAGCCACCAAAACTACTTTGAGATTCTATTTTATACCTGTCAGAATGGTTAAGATCAATAACACAAGTTACAGCTCATGCTAGTGAGGATGTGGAGCAAGGGGAACACTCCTCCATATCTGGTGGGAGTGCAAATTTGTACAGCCACTATAGAAAATCAATATGCAGGTTCTTCAGAAAGTTGGGAATCCATCTTCTTCAAGACCTGGCTATAACACTCCTGGGCATATACCCTAAAGGATGTTCCATCCTACCAGAAGGTCACTTGCTCAACTGTGTTCACTGATGCTCTTTTCATAATAGCCAGAAACTGGAAACAACCTAGACGTCCCTCAGCAGAAGAATGGGTAAAGAAAATGAGGTACATTAACACAATGGAGTATTACTCAGCTGCTAAAATATGCCATCATGAAATTCACATGCAAATGGATGGGATTAGAAAAAATCATTCTGAGTGAGGTAACCCAGACCCAGAAAGACAAATATGGCATATAGGTAGGTATTTTACTTATAAGTGGATATTAGCAGTTAAGTAAATAATAACCAAGCTATAATCTATAGACCCAGGTTAGGTAAAGAAGAATGGTCTGGAAGGATACATGGGTCTCCCTTGGAAGGGGAAATTAAGTAGATTTTATTGGTGGATTAGAGGTGGGTGGGGATGGGATTGGGAGGGATCAGGTAGGAGTATGGGATGGAGGGAGAAAGTTTGGAAGAGATGACTGGAATTGTGGGGCATTTGGGGGTTGATGTGGAATCCTACTGCAGAGGAAGCTTCCTGAAATCTATGAAGGCGATCCAATTGGTTTCCACAGATCATCTCTTGTTGCCAAGTGAGGCTTCCAGTGGCAGGATTTGGCTGCATTCAATTGAGTTGTTGGCCACAGGGGTCTCATGGAAATCCTGGAACGACCAAGGCTGTTGCTAAAACAAAGGGTCGCTCTCTGCAAACTGACAGCAGGTGACAATACCCACAAAGTTCACTGGACATGGAAAAGTGGAGTTGGTGCCTACATGGAGCCTTCATGCCTATGTTCTAGTCTCTTTGGTGTGGGAAGGTAGTCTGCAGGCTACTGTAAGAGAAATGTGAACATCAGCTTAGGCACAAAACCTTTGACCTACCACCTGTGCAGCCTGTAAGATATGCTAGGCCAACAGAAGCACAGAATTTGTGGGAGTGTCCAACCAATGTCTGATTTGACTTATGGTTCACTCCATGAGAAGGAACACATAACTGACACTGCTTAGGTAATCAAGACCCAGAGACTAGATAGCCTAAAGTCCTAGGGTAAAACCAAAGCAACAAACTGTTGGGGAAGTCCTGTTATTTGCCTGTGCATTTGTCAATAAAGTACTGTCTGGCCAATAGGGAATCTAGATAGGAGGGACTAGGAGTCCAGGAGGATTCTGGGTAGGAGAAACACAAGAGAGTCAACATGTAACGCCATGGGGGTAGGAAACCCGGAACTACTCTCCGGTAAGAGACATACTTAGATTAACAATTATGGGGTAATTACTTAAAGTAGAGCTAGCCAGTAAGAGACAAGCAAGGCCAACAGCTTCATAATTCATATATCCTCCTGTGTGTTTATTTGGGACTGATGCAGATCTGGAACCAGGCGGGCGGGAAGGCTCCTCTCAAGGAAACCTTCTCTTAACAAAAAACAAACAAATAAACCATTGAAATGATTCCTAATGATGTTCTGCTAGACTCATAGATGAGTGCCTTATCCAGTCATCATCAGAGAGGGTTCTGCCTGCAGCAGATGGGAACAGATGCAGGGACCCACAGACCGACATTATGTAGAGAGAGAGAGAGAGTCTAAATTGGAGATCTCCATCAAATTCCTCCCTGCAGAGCCCAGGGAATCTCATGAGAAAAGTGGAAAGATGGTAAGAGTCAGAGGGGCTGGAGGACACCAGGAGAACAAGGCGCTCTGAATCAACTAAGCAAGGCACATCCGAACTCACAAAGACTGAAGCAGGAAGCACGGGACCTACGTGGGTCGGCACCAGGTCCTCTGCACATGTACTCTAGCTGTTAGTTTAGTGTTTTATGGGATCCCTGATTATGAGAATGAGTGGGTCTCTGACTCTTGAGCCTGCTCTTGCGATTCTTCCTGTTGGGTTGCTGTGTCCAAACATGAAAGTTTTTGACTTATTCTTTATTTTGTCATGTTTGTTATCACTTAGAATCCTTTTTTGGTGGATGAGGGAGTGGATTAGGAAGGGAGGGGATGTGGGGAGGAACTGGGAGGAGTGGATGGAGAGGAAACTGTAATCAGGATACATTGTATGAGAAAAGAATCTATTGTCAATAAAAAAATCCACATTTAGTTCTTAAAGAGAAACATCATTGTTGTCCTCTGTTTTATCCATTTTCTCTCTTTTTCCACTATCCTGCTTCACTTGGCATTCTTTTCTTTTTAGTGTCCCACTCGGCTCAAGTGGTACCTTCTTCTAAAGCTTTTCCTCTGGCTTCCCTAGTCATTTGCATTTAGTACTGATTTTGCTTTTTAGTATTTGAAAATTTCTTCTCCAAATTTTCCCAGTCATTGTACTCCCCTTTAACAAAAGGACTAAGTCACTTTACCAATGGGGTATGACAATGAGCTAATAGAATTCTATCATCTATTGATAGCTTACCCGTAGCTTGGAGAGTACTGAAGGGCTCTTTTGATTGTTTCTTCTTTAAACTGGATGGTGTTTCCATTTTCCACAGTGAAAGTAGCCGTCTTAAAGGGGAACATGTTTGGGTTTGGAGATCCAGGAGCCAGAGAAATGAGGGATCTTGGTGCCTTGGCCATTATGTCAGCTATGATAAACACGAAAAAGAAGAAAGAATATGTCTACTGAAGTTTAACAGACAATTCATTATGCATTACCATCAACTATCATGTTTTACAACTTCTAGTGGTAGAATGTGCTGTAGCTTGTATGTCTCTGACCAGTTCCTAAGTTAGAATCTAGTACTCAAAACGACAAAGATGGGATTAGATCATGATAACTCTGCCCTCAGAAATGGAATTGGTGTTCTCATGAAAGTGGCCGAGCTGCAATGAGAAGCTATTTGGAACTGCCCTGATTGGGTACCTGATGTGGGACTTCCCAGCCTCCAGAACCGACAGAAGAACATTCTTGCTATTTATTAAATTACCTGCTCATGCTAGGCTGACATAGTGGCCTACTGCGCTAAGATAGAATGCTAGTCTAAAATAAATGCAAACTAACTTTTTCTAGACTTCCTCACTTGTGGAGGGATGGAAAAATGGGGATGGTCAAGAAAACCGGAGAGGGTTCTAGAATCAAGCAAAGGGCCACAATGGCAGAAGGACTTTCTTCACTTACTTCATTACCTACCTGTGTGTCCCGGCTCCACCGGCTCCACCTCTGGCTCCCACTTAACCAGGCCCTTCCCTCCACACCCCTGCTCGCCCACCTTTCCTGCAGGGCCTTTCCCTACAGCCGCCTTGCAGGGTTGTGCCCTATGGCTGGCAGCTGAGCTTTCCCTCTGCCTCAGCTCCTCTGACACCCCAGCGAAAAGTACTCACTGCCTTGCCTTGCCTTGCCTCAGCCCAAGTTCAAAACGTATCTATTCCTCCTTCAACTAATGCTCACAGATTGTCTTCACACTTGCAGCCAGCGGTGACCGCCCTTGTGCACCGCGCAGAGCTTCTGAGGAGAAAAGGCCACTCTTGCAAACAAGGGGAGGCGCGGACTTTGGTTTTCACCTGTAGCTCTGATGGGGGAAGGCTTTCTGGCAATACTGGTTGCGGTGAGAAACCGTGAGTAATTCATGTCTCTGCCGGTCGCTTGGCGCAGGACTAGGAAAGCCAGTGACCTCCCAGGTCACCGGGGTAGCACGTAATGCTGCAGAATGCCACCCAACCTGCCCGGCTGCAGCTGCCTCTGGTGTCTGCGATCTAAATAGGCCCGGACCAGGCGACAGCAGGGACAAAGTCCATCTGCAGAGGGGATGGGTACCGCAGCGGACTGCAGACTGCAGTAGGCCACGCCCTCTTCCACCCCTTGCCCAGGCCTATGGCAGCCAAGAGCAGGGAGTGACCCTACTGTAGTCCACCCGCCAAAATGGGCGTGTCGAGACGTGAAAGACAAGACCCGCGCAGTGATGCATAATCACAACCGGGATTACTGCCCAAATCCACAAAAAGGGCTGCATGGGCCCTTGACCTTGTAACTCAGAGTCCGGCAACACAGAACCACCATTTAACATGGTTCTGGCCTGCCGGATCATGGAAATGAGCCCCTGGAACTGGACCTGACTTCAGGTCCTTCCGTGCCCTCTGGTGGTGGCTTTGTTGCATTGCAGCGGTACTGTAAGAGGTCCTCAGCCTGTTAGCTCGGTACCAAGGTTGTGCTAAATTCTCATTTTATTTTTCTTTAATAAAACTCTTGTATTTTTCCGCTGAGTAGTACTCCATTGGGTAAATGTATCACATTTTCTATATCCAATCTTCAGTTGTGGGGCATCTAGGTTGCTTCCAGAATCTGGCTATTACAAATAATGCTGCTATGAACATAGTGGAACAGACATCCTTGTTGTATGAATGTGCATCTTTTGGGTATATACCTAAGAGTGGAATTTCTGGGTCTGGTGGTAGACTGATTCCCATTTTTCTGAGGAATCTCCATACTGATTTCTAAAGTGGCTTTGTACAGTTACTCCCACCAGCAGTGGAGGAGTGTTTCCCTTTCTCCACATCCTCTCCAGCATAAAATGACACTGGGGATTTTGATTTTAGCCATTCTGGCAGTTGTAAGATGGTATCTTAGAGTTGTTTTTATTTGCGTTTCCCTGATGGCTAAAGATGTTGAGCAATTTCTTTATTGTCTTTCAATCATTTGAAAATGCTCTAGTGAGAATTCTCTATTTAGTTATGCACCCCACTTTTAATTGGATTATTTGCTATTTTGGTGACTACCTTCTTGAGTTCTTTGCATATTTTGGAGATCAGCCCTCTGTATGGATGTTACTAGAGGAAACCATTCGGAGTGAGGTAACCCAGATATAGAAAGACAAACATGGTGTGCACTCACTCACACGTGGATATTCAACATAGAGCAAAGGATAACCAGCTTACAATCCACAACCTCAGAGAAGCTAGAAAACCAGGAGAGATATACATGGACTCCTAAGAAGTAGAAAGGGACAAGATCTCCTGAGCAAACTGGGAGCACAGCGGGAGGGAAATAGGAGAAAGAGAAGGGGAGAAGGGGAGAAGGGGAGAAGGAGAGGGGGAGGAGAATACGAGGGATCAGGAAGGTTGAGTTGGGAGAAGAACAGAGAAGGAGAGCAAAGAAAGAGATACCTCAATAGAGGGAGCCATTATAGGTTTAAAGAGAAATCTGGCACTAGGGAAATGTCCAGGTATTCACAAGGATGACCCTAACTAAGAATCTAAGCAATAGTGGAGAGGATACCTTAAATGCCCTTCCTCTATAATGAGATTGATGACTGCCTTATATGCCATCCTAGAGCCTTCATCCTACAGTAGCTGATGGAAGCAGAAGCAGACTCCCATAGCTAAGCACTGAGCCGAACTCCTGGAATCCACATGTAGAGAGGAGGAGTGATGAGCAAAGGGGCTAAGACCATGCTGGGGAAACCCTCAGAAACAGCTGACCTGAGCAAGAGGGAGTTCACTGACCCCAGTCAGACAGCTGGGGAACCAGCATAGGATGGAATCAGACCCCCTGAATGTAGGTGTCAGTTGGGGGGCTTGGGCAGTCTATGGGGCCTCTGGCAGTGGAACTAGTGTTTATCCCTAGTGTATGAATGAGTTTTGGGAGCCCTTTCCCTATGGAGGGATACTCTCTCAGCCTAGATACTCGGGGGAGTGCCTAGATTCTGCCCCAAATGATATGTCAGTCTTTGATGATTCCCCATGGAAGGCCTCACCCTCCCTGGGAAGTAGATGAGGATGGAATGGGGGCTTGGTGGGGAGCATGGGAGGACAGGAGGGAAAGGGAACTGGGATTGGTATGTTAAATAAGATTGCTTTTAATTTAAGTAAGAACTAATTAAAAAAAAACCTCTTGGCACTCTCTGGCAGGTCTTCAAGGGGACTCTATCCAATATATGAGCCCGGTAGAGTGAGGGAGAGAGTTGACTCCCCAAATTCGAAGATGGATTCTTAGTTGCCTGCTGAGTTCCAGAGCCTTCACTGTGTTGGGGCCTAGCCCCCACAGGGTCTCTGAGTTGTTTGCCAGCTGATAGCCACAGGTGTATCCTGTTTTCTAGTCCTGGCTTACTGCCCCACATTACCCCACTGACATCAACATCTAGCACAAGGAAAACACGCTCTCTTCTACCTGGGGTTTTTCTACTGTGTTGTAAGACTATATAAAAGACTGCTCCCTCCTACAAGGGAGAGACCTCCTAGCATTTGCAAAATAAAGACACTTCTTAGTACAAATATCTGGACATCTGGTCTTTCTTTTTCTGATATCTTGGACTTGCTTGTGGCGCGGGCGCCTCATCACTGTGTAAGAGCTCGGTTGGAAGTGTGTTACATATGGCAAAATTAAAGCGATGACCAAGTATGATCTCATGAATTATCAGACCAATTGCCATACAAAGAGAAACCGTCTTAGTTTCGCGGTCATTTAAAGGAGAAGAATAGAGTGAACAATCCCACGGGGAATACTTTTGGCAGTCAAGGTACCTGGGTCATAAGGGAGTGAGTTCCAAAATCATTAAGAAACAGCTGAAAACTCAGGTTAAATCTTGTCTCTGGAAACAGGACAGGGCATTGCTTTTGAGGTGTCATCTTTATTTGAACATGGTAGTTAAAAGTAACTGTGGTAGGTGAGGGCCTTTCCCCAAGAGGCTGTTCTGGGGTGGGTAAAATGGGCTTTGGAGATTATAGTCACCCCAAAGTTAAAAGGAGCACATACTACAGTAGCTTGACTGCTCAGAGTTGGAGTTCAGCCTCTTACACACTCTGTGTACAATACAAACCAGCAACTCACCAGATGAAGATTACAGATTCTTGGGTAGCTTCCTGCATTTTCTGCATGGCTTCTTTTCCTGTGCTTTAGTTTTATATGGTCACCATAAAACACATGACCAAAGCAACTCATAAAAGAAAGCATTTGACTTCAGGGCTCACAGTTCCAGAGGGTTGGAGTCCTTGCCCATCATTGCCAGGAGCATGGCAACAGGCAGGCCAGTAGCGGTGGCACTGAAGCTGGAGCCTGAGAGTCTACATTTTGATCCACAGACAAGAGGCAGGGAGAGATAACTTGGAACAGTGTCTGTTTTTGAAACCCCAAAGCCTGTCGCCAGTGGCACACCTCCTCTGACAAGGCCACACCTCCAAATCCTTCCCACACAGTTCCACCAGCTGGGGACGTAGCATTCAAATCTATGAGACTACGGGGACCATTCTCGTTCAAACCACTGCATCCTGGAATTACACAGGCAAAATAATTGAGATACCAACTGGTTATAAGCTGGGTGGTGATTCAGAACAGGTGGGGAACAAAGTGGCCCACAGAGAAGACAATATGAGGTAGCATGCTGGGGCTTCCGGTGACAGAGATGCAAGGCAGACTATAGCCACACTCTACGGGAAAGGGCTGCATATTAGTAACGTTTTCTTGTTGCAAATACCTGTGAAGAAGCAACTTAAGGGGCAAAAGGGTTATTTTGGCTCATGGTTTAAGGAGATACAGTCATAATGGCAGAGAAGTTCAGAGGGAGGAGAGTGAAGTGTCTGGCCACATGACCTCTACAGTCAGAAAACAGAAAGCCTACAGAGGGAACTGGGGCCAGGGTGTAAAACCTCAAGGCCTTCCCCTAGTGAGTCACTTCCTCCAGTGAGACCTCTCATCTAAAGATTTTAGAGCCTGCCCAAACAGCCTCACTGTCCGTTCAAACCCGTGAGCTTGTGGGAGAGATTTCACATTCAAACCACCGCAGTGGAGAAGAGTTTAGCCATCAATTTGAAGTCACAAGTTGAAAGTAAAACTGGCTGTCAGAGAGGCCAGACTCTGGCTTTGTCAAGAGTGGCAGGAGCGGGTCTCTAGAGGCAGCAAGATGAGTGAGCCAAGCTCAAGTCGTAGGGCTGCGTCTTTAAAGACTTAGTTTAGGGTTGCTGGAGGATAGAAAGGAGGGGGCCAGAGCCTCTGTCCAAACATTTATTGAATCCCCTACTCTCTGCAAAGAAATGTGGTGGATTTTAAAGGATAGCGGAGACAGTCACTGCTGTTGAAGAGCAGGAGAGGTGAGCCAGATATAATGCAGTGTCTGGCAGAGGAGGATGCGAACTCTTAAAGGAGACAAGAGAATGAGGATTTTTTAATAGACAGGAGTTCACAGGTGGGCTGTGAGCTGTCCCGACCCGCAGGACATTCAACGTGGGTCTGGTAGACACCTAGGAGAAAGATGGAGGACAGGGGATACAGGAATGGACGCCAAGACAGGATTCTGATCAAGGCTACAACTTTATTTCATCACAAAGGGATTTATATAGGAGAACTGAGGAGGGGAAGGGGGAAGGTATACTTGCAGCTGCAGGGGCAAGAGGTCAGTGGGAGAGGTGGTCTGCTGTGTTGCCTGGCTACCTAATCTACAGGGCAAGAAGTCAGGGGTAGGAATTCCTATGTTGCTTGGTAACCTGACATCAGGGTCCGATCCTATCAATTACAATTTACTATTACTCAGGCCTATCTCCTGACGACCTTGTAGTTTTCCAATTAAGCTAATCTTTAGCTGACTGGTAAACCCCAGGCTTGTTACTTGGAATTTGCTTTATGTCAGAAGGGGTGGCAGGGTAGTCTTAGTGTCACGTCTTCTCTATGAGTATGTGATACAGCCTAGCTGACTGATGGCTGGAGGTCCCTGACAGAATATATTTCTTTTATGGTCTTGGTCATGGTTGTTACGATTGTTCTTCCCAAATGAACACACAGACGCTATATTAATTACAACACTGTTGGCCGACGACTAGGGCTTCTTATTGGCTAGCTCTGTCTTAATTATTAACTCACAACTACTAATCTATGTATTTCTACATGGTCTTATCTTACCGGAGAATGCCTGAATTGAGTCTTCTCTTCCCAGGCTCACATTGCGATTCCTTTCTGCCTACACCTCCCAGAATTCTCTTCAGCTGGTAGCCCTGCCTATCCTTCCTGCATGGTAACTAGTCACACAGTGCTT